TTCGCTCTAGTGAGACGTTCTTTGAACTTCTGGACATATTTATTCACCGTTCCCACGGTCGCTCCTGGTGTCCATCGTTCCTTCATCATGGATAGCATGGCATATATAATATAGATAAATGGAAAGTAAGCCTTCTCAGGACCCACACGTCCTCCTTCGGCCTTACTAACCAATTCGGGGAACTCCTCCTGCTGCAACTCTCCGAGACGAGTGCGGTCTACCCCTGGAGAACTGGTGAGGGTCACCTGCAACTCACCATTCGGGCTACCTTCGCCCTCCGCTCGTTCTCTGGGTCCTACGCAGAGGTGATCTGTTCCCAGGCTGTCAGTCGTCTCCTCAGCCCCATCAGATCCACAACCTCCTGGTTCTTCGCGTTGTCTCGGTGTCACAGTACAAACTGGGATCGCCACTGGTGCGATTCCCTTCTCGTCCCCACAGGCGTTCAACTCTCCGCCTGTCTCCTTGTATTGTTCTAGGCACTCTTCGCCCTTCACGAGATGCGGGAGGACATATCCTCCACACGCGTCATTCCCCAAGATGACCTGCGCCTCCATCTTGGGCATTGATGTACAGACTCCCACCACTAGGGTCTGGCAGCCATAATCGGAATTTAAAGTTACCTGGTGTAGGGGCACACTCACCGGGCCTCCCACAGTGGTCACACTTGCCACCCCCACACTGGTACTTTCGTAACCCTCGGGGAACAGGGTTTCACTCACCAGGGTGAAGTCAGCCCCGGTGTCTCTTAGCATCTTCACGGGGATGGGGTCTGCGACCCCTATCCTTACGGTTCCTTGACACATGAATGGGTGAACTTTCTTCTCCCCATTCAGCACGGGTTCATCCCGCACTCTCTCGGCCCTCTGGTCCTCGAACATCACTAAAGCAACGTCTCCCCGCTGCTTAAAGCGTCTGCATTCCCGCGCGACGTGTCCGAATATTCCGCAGTTGTAGCAGCGGACTCTCGGCGGAGACCATCCACCACTGCTCGCCTTAGCACTGCCTCCAGAGGCCGTCGCCCCCTGTGTCTTTCCCGCACCACTTGTCGTTTCCTTCGTTGCAGTAACAACTTCCGAGCTCTCATCTTGGCTCTCCTCTATCGGCTCTACAGCACCTTTTGTTCCTCTGACGTCCCATCTCGAGCGGTGGGACTTGGGAGAACTCGCTTCTGTCCTCCATCCATTCGTCCTCCTATAATTCCTACTGCTTCCGGAGTACACGGGTGATCGGTGATGTCCCTCTCGGCTTGGGCGTAGTGCTTCCTCTAACATGTCGGCCCGGTCGGCTGCGGCCCTCAGGTTCTTTATGTCCGCCTCCTTTATCCTCATCCTGATCTCAGGAGAGAGCACGGACATAAACTTTTCCATGGCTATCAGTTCCTTGACCTCTTCGACCGACCTCGCTTCTTCAGAGTCCAGCCACTTAAGGAGCTTCCTTTCTATGTACCTCGCCGTCTCCGCATACGATTTTCCTGGTGACCGGGTACATTCTCTAAACCTCTTTCTGTAACACTCTGGCGTGAGCTTAAAGGAACGGAGCACAGCTCGTTTTACCACATCGTAGTTGGTGCATTCCTGGAAGTCGAGCATAGTGAAGGCTTCACGAGCTTCACCTGTGAGTCTTCCTTGGACTAACTCCGCCCTCGGCCACCTCTTCATAGCAGCAACTCTCTCAAAGTGATCGAAGAAACTTTCGGCTTCACTAGGCACATAGACCGGCAGGTCTCGTTCCCTCACTCGTCGGTCTTCCTGTGGCGGCGGAGCAGGTACACCGAGTCCTAATTCGGCTCGCTTCAGCTCTACCTCCTTGTTGGCTTCTATTTCCGATTGTCTCAACCTAAATTCTCGCTCGTGTTCTTCCCGGCGTAGCTGTGCTTCTCGCTCTTGTTCTTCCCTGCGTAGCTGCGCTTCTGCTTCTCGCTTTTCTCTGCGCTGCTGTGCCTCTCGTTCTTCATTGCACTGCTGTGCTTCTCGCTCTTCTTTGCGCTGCTGCGCTTCTGCTTCTCGCTCTTCTCTGCGCTGCTGTGCTTCTGCTTCTCGCTCTTCTTTGCGCTGCTGTGCTTCTGCTTCTCGCTCTTCTTTGCGCTGCTGTGCTTCTTCTCTCCTCAGCTGCGCTTCTCGCTCTTCACGCTTCAACTGCAACTTCATTATTTCCAGCTTTATGCTGTGCCTGCTGCCGCTGGATCCCCTGCTGCTTCCACCAATACTCAGGTGTTCACCCACACTGGCAGGTGTTTGGGGCCGTTCTTCCCCCAAAGCTTCCTCTCGAGCCCTGAGCTGAGCCATTATCTCTAGTCTTCTTTCTGCCACCCTGGCAGATTTCAACTTTATTCCGAAATGATCCGCTATAGCCTGTAACTGTGCCTTGGTGCACTCTTCCAGCACCTGTTCATCTCGAGTGTCAATAAACTTGGCTACTTTATCATCCTCCATCTTGTGCTATGAGTGATAACCTGCGCCTGATCTCTAACACCACTGCCAAGTACCACTGCTGCAACCTTTACTCCGATCGAAATCCTGGCGAGGTCGCCAATGTTGGGGTTTCACCTCTCTATTCTTACTCTGGGGAGAGCAATTGTTATGCTCAAGGTCACACACCGTAGCCCTGCGGGTCTTCACTCGATCCTCACGGCGCCACTGCACGCCAGGAGAGTCTCCCAGTCAATCTTAACGGCCTCTTATTAAGAAAGAGTGAGAACACGACTCGTTCACTTGATTGTCATGTGCCCTCCCCAACAATCGGGCTCTACGGTTAACCACAAGGTCGCCAACTGGTGTTTTAGGTGGCCAGTAACACCTCAGTGGACTGGTGAAGTCAATGGTAGCCTTGGCAAGGTCACACTCAATAGATCAGGAATCCAGGCAGGTACTTACTGTTATCACTCTATGCTTTCAGTATAATATAGCCACAAGATCAATGGAGGAGATGATAAAAACACAATGGTAATTTTCTATTTTACTTAAAATGTAGGAAAGATGTCACAAGGCCAAACAATAACGAATAAACCAACTGATCCTGACGCGGTCGGTAATTCCCACGGTTAGTATGCGATCACTAAGTGGCAACACCTGCCCTCCTTGTCAAATGTCAAGAACAGCTGATCGCCTGGCCTCCGCGCGCGAACGCTTTTGCTTGTTTCCTAGATTCACGCGCGCTGTTTCTTTAAGTTCTCCAATATTACTATAAACTGGCACACTCGATATTGGCACAATAGCACATATCACTTAGTTACACTATACTCAGGCTCAAACAGTCGTTTCTACAATCAATGCTATAATGATTCACTGTAATGGATTTCCTTGCCCTTCATTCAATGACATATTATAAAGTATTAACACTGGAGTTTTCAGTACTTTCTCTCGTGGGCGATAACGCAATAATTCACTGTATTCACAAATGGCTAATCACTGCATGAACATAGCATATATAATGTAGATACATCAAATATCAATACATGGAAAATAAATAGTTTCTGGGCACACAGCCTAACTTCCAAATACTGGCATAATATTATATATAATTTACCACTATATGTTCATATCAAAATCTATAGAAAGATATACACAACACAGTAAATTTATCACTTGTTCCTGGTGCCTGTACACACCAATAATCAACATGAATATTACAAGTACTCTTGATAGTACTGTCTAGCACACTGGTGCTTTACCGTGACATGGGTGAGACTTGCTCACGACATATAAAATCCTCAGGCTAGATAATATAGCCGAATAATATAGCTAACTAAAGGGGAATGGGGAGGGAACTAGAAACACCTACTTCACCCTATCCTCCGATGAGAGTCGAGATGTAGCTCCTGGTCCTCGTGTCGGGAACGCCCCCACACGACACGTCGTCGTGTCCTACCAGAGCCTCTCGTCGTCCCACCGTTTAGCGCGTCGTCTCCGTGCCCTCTTTACTGCAGGTCCGTGCTCCTTCCTGACTTCTTGAAGGGTTGGAGTCGGTCTCCTGGCCGTCGTCTTCTCCCAACAACGGCTGTCGCCTACGTCTCAGCTACAGTCGTCCGGATTCCCCAAATAGTCCTCTCCTTCCTCAGCTACCCAGTGGCTCTGTCAGCCACTACGCTGTCACGAACTGGTGAACTGCCACAGACGTCACATACGTCACTGCACGGCTTCACTGCTTCTTGCACAGTACCTGACTGGAGCACTTGTTGCTCAAATAACCGTCAATTCCCTCTTCTGGTTCAACACATGAACTAGGGAAGACTTCTCAGAGTACTGGCGGACTTCAGGTGACGCGTAAATCCACGGGAGCGGGAAACAACTGTCCAACTGACAGGACCAACCGTCGCACGTCCGACCTCTATGACGTGTCGTGTCTGACTGATGGCGCCAGAGTGGCGCGCGGCCTGGACCCCCTTCCTTCGTGACGTCACTTTCGCCACGGGAGGTTTTCATTGGCTCCCGGTGCCACATTGCTGTCGGTGACCAATCCGGTGCCACTGACGTCACACGGTTTTGGCGGGAAATCAGGGAGGCAAGCGCCATCTTGGCTCCCTAAAGGGCCTATACCACAGGCCAAAATATTACTATTTCACAAATTTCTCGGCTCTCCGAGAACACTTCACTCTCTCCCATATATCAAATTGTAGCCTGCAACGTAGAGAACGCTTGGGAAAAGTAGACATGACTCTTACTGCAGGCGTGGGAGAATTATAAGGGGGGGAACTCCGTCACAATATATATATATATATATATATATATATATATATATATATATATATATATATATATATATATATATATATATATATATATATTTATATAATAGTTAACCAATAGTTAACCGGGGGTTCTTGACAAGTTTGACAGGTTTCAATTCCCTACCTATGGTAAACCAAAAGGTGAACTACTTTAGTATAGATTAAGTTAATTTCTCTGAAAAGTCTTAAGGTCCAAACTGTATGTTTTATTTTATACTGTTAAAATTTTATGCAGAGTAACACATCATTAAAATAAGTTCTTAAATCTCTACAGGTAGTGAACATGCTGGTGAGTGAGCTAAGCCTTCGCCTGCAGGATGAGACGGGGATTCTCAAGGGCGCCACCATCAAGCACTCCGGCAGTGCTTATGAGAACCTGGCCATTGATAAAAATGCTGATTTTGACTTGATCCTAGAGCTCGGGAAGCCTTTCGTCAGTGGAAACTTTCAGGTAGGCTGTATTATCTAGAGAAACACTGCGACGGCCACTTCGTGTGGTTTCATGCAACACATGTACATATAAACCCTTACACGGTTCCAGTCGCTATCTGTCTCTTCCTCCTGTGCTCTTCATCCCTGTGGGTTTACAATATTTTTTTTTGTGTGTGTGTGCTATGTGGTAGGACTTATAGATAACTGCCAATTTAAGGGTTAATACTATGTATTTTAACAAGTTTCATCTCTATGGCTGTCTAAATATTTGTAGAAGAAGCTAGCTATTACTGAATGAAAACCACTGTTTATGATCCCTGACACAGGTAGCTTGTAGTTTTAATATTGTATCTCCTAATATACCGGAAACGTTTCTGATATGAATGCTGCAATTACTTTTATTCCCTGTCTAATGTCCTTGTTCAATAAAACTATCTATTAATTATTGTTATAAATTAAAACTAAAAAAAACTAAAAATCCAAATACATAGTTCCGATTAATAATATTTATTTATACAAAAACTAAACTGGTTATATTGTGTTGTATACCTTCATTTTAGAACACTGACATTTTTTTATATGACCACACTAATCAGGAAAAGAATTTCAAGGACACCTTAAGCTTAACAAGAGATCAAGTCTTAAATTTAAAAAATGTTTGTGTTGAAATAATAGTTAATAGCTAATGACATGAGGCTACTAATATGTAAGAAAGTAGCAGAGAATATAAATGTTTATGCTGTGGAATATGAGCTCTGAGTGTAAATTAAAAGAAATGTAACTGCAAATGCTTAAAAATAAGCTTGAACGATAACCAGAATAACCTCTTAATTTTATTTAGGATTATATTATTATATCATTAATACTGTAGTGTAAATAGAATACGAGATGGGTACCCAGCATATTTTTTTTATTGCAGGTGGGTCCAGGTGTGGATATAATTCAAACCCCACACATAAAGAAACTGGCAGATGCACTATGCATACCACTGAAACCACTTTTCAGAAAATCTATGGTTTAAGGGATAGTTCCCCCAGATCGGATATATTTAAATGTCACAACAATTTAAAAAAAAAAGATAGAAAAAGCAGCATTCGAAAAGCAGCCCCCACTCGCTTTCTCTCTCTCTCTCTCTCTCTCTCTCTCTCTCTCTCTCTCTCTCTCTCTCTCTTGTTTTTTTAATTCATTAGGAAGTGAGTTCCATATGAGTTCCTTTTTATTTCTATTGTACTGTTTGCACTAATTTAATCTGACTCATATAATATGAAAGAGATATGTATATTTGGTGTGATGCCCATGGGTTCTATTACATGTATGAAAGAATAGTTTCAGATCAGGATTAGAATGAAGGAACAAGGATTTGTAAGCATAAAGATCACAAAAAATATGTGAATTCAGTGCATGATTAGCATGCTTAGGGAGTTAAACAGAGGGGCTGTGTGTTCTCTGAAGACAGTTTGTTATTTTTCTGATTCCAGATTTTTGCGGGGGTAATAATGAACTTGAGGTAGTTTGCAGTGGTTCAAACCCTTGTACAGATACAGCATGTTAGATAGGGATAGATTAGTATAGTGTTGGAATAGCTAAGCGGGGAACATAATATCTCATTTTTGAGAATATACTAACAGTTTTAGATTCTGCTTTTCTCTGTGTTTTGACTGTGAGCACTGAAGTTAAGTCTCTGTCTATGTATGGACCAAGGAACTTTCCCTTATGTTTACTATTAATGTGGATATTGTCTATGAGAAGGGGAATTTGGTTTGATGATTTTCTTCCAAATAAAATGTAGTAGGGCTTTTCTATGGTTTGTGTGAGTTTGTTGGTTGACATCTATGAGATGACTATTTTTAATTCGTTATTTACAATATTGTTTAGAGAGTGTAAGTTAGAGTTTGAACAAATGAAGATAGAATCATCATCAACAAAAAGCATAGGCTTACTATCTATAGCAAACAGATTAACTAAGCTAGATAATGCAAACTTAAACCAATGCCTGAAGAAAACACGCACAGTAGCACTAAAATTATGTACAAGTCACATAACACTAAGAAGAAAGAGAAAGAGATGCAGATTGTAAGGAGAACAGCGTTCCCTCTATAGGCGACGAAAACAAATTCTAGAACATCTTAAACGGTCAACTCCCCTAAGAACGACAAAGAAAACTATGTCGAGAAACGATTGAGTAGAGGTTGCAAGAATCATATCAAATCCAGGAGCGACAGAGAGACCAACAGGCTATTAGTGAAACAGAGGAATCCAAAATACTTTTTCATCTATGATAAATCTACAACAAAAACTACAAATCTAATTGGACCCTTGCACAAGAGTGATAGAACCTTCACAAATGACAACAAAGAAAAGCGTGAAATGAGGTTACAGCACGATTCCGTTTTCAGTGAACCCCTCAACACATTGCTGATGAATGATCCAAACGAATTTTTAATAAATGCGACACCACCACCGAGTCGTATATCAGATGTTACCCTAACCCACTTGACTTTAAAGTAGCCATTGACAGCCTGCCCATGCACTCTGTCCCAGGCCGAAGCTCCTGGAATTCCATATTCTACAAGAATTAAGAAAAAACTATCACAGGTCTTAAACATATTTTTGCAAATAAAGTCTTGATAGCGGTAATATCCCTAACATACTTAAAACAGCAAACGTTTGCACCACTTCACAAAGGAAGTAGTAAAGCTGATGCTATAAATTATAGACCAGCAGCTCTAACATCGCACATCATAAAAATCTTCAAGAGAGTGCTAAGAAATAAGACCACAAAACTCATGGAATTACAGTGTCTACATAATCCTGGGCAACATGGGTTCAGAACAGGGCGCTCCTGCTTTTAATTGTTGTTAGAGCATTATGACATGGCCTATATATGCCATGGGTATATATAAACTACAATGATTTGAAAAGCCGTTGAGGAATGGGACTCACTAATGAGCATTCTGCATATACATCCGCCTCAAGGCCTTGACAATATTCTCAAACCCAGAGAAATATGGTAAACATAACACATTCTTTGGGCGAATTCTTTCACTGCATACATTATTATAATATGTACGACGTGCTTTGCTATGGCAAACTTCCAAAAAACTCAGTGGGTAACAAAGCTTGAGACCAATCGAATCAATATTCTTAAACTCTTCATCTCCTTGCAGTGAAAGAATTCGCCTAAAGAATGTGTTATGTTTACCATATTTCTCTGGGTTTGAGAATATTGTCAAGGCCTTGAAACTTTTTAATATACATGTTTTGTTTAGCTACGAAAATACTGTTGGTAAGCTATTAGTTAGGAACAGCCCTCGTAGTGATAGTTGTGTCATTTATAAAATACCTTGTAAAAACTGTAATAAGTTCTATGTTGGGCAAACTTCTAAAGATTTGAAATGCAGAATTTCGCAACATAAATACTCTGTAAGACATGGCCAATTGTCTAATGCTTTGTTTGTTCATCTGTCAGAAGATGCTCACCAAATTGATTGGGAGATGGCGTCTTCAATAATTAATTGTAAAAGCACCTATAACAGAAACATAATTGAATCTGCTTTGATACAAATCACAAAAGAAAGTAATTTGAACATTAGCAGTGGGTTATATAACTCAGATCCATTTTTAATAGATCAATTAAAGGGCGATTTAAGTAGGATCATTGGAACACATTTGTCTCACTAATTCATTGTAAATATTAACTATTTTATGCTATGATTATCCATGTGTGGGCCTGTGTGTGGTTGCTGCATCGGATGGGCCAATAGGCCCTCTGCAGTGTCCATGTATTGTACCTCACCTCACTCCACCATTCTCTCCTGCCTATTTATGTCCAGTACTCGACCTGTAAAATCACTCCTTCTGAAGATGTATTAATATGCGAAAGTACTTAAGGAAATTCCTGTTTCAATTTTCCTCCGTGATCTGACAATGGCATATATATATATATATATATATATATTAGTATATTTTGGTAGCAGTCTTTCCTGTAGACATATATTATTAAACATAAGAACATAAGAACATAAGAACAAAGGTAACTGCAGAAGGCCTATTGGCCCATACGAGGCAGCTCCTATTCTATAACCACCCAATCCCACTCATATACTTGTCCAACCCGTGCTTGAAACAATCGAGGGACCCCACCTCCACAATGTTACGCGGCAATTGGTTCCACAAATCAACAACCCTGTTACTGAACCAGTATTTACCCAAGTCTTTCCTAAATCTAAACTTATCCAATTTATATCCATTGTTTCGTGTTCTGTCCTGTGTTGATACTTTTAATACCCTATTAATATCCCCCCGGTTATGTCCATTCATCCACTTGTAAACCTCTATCATGTCACCCCTAACTCTTCGCCTTTCCAGTGAATGCAACTTAAGCTTTGTTAATCTTTCTTCATATGAAAGATTTCTAATTTGGGGAATTAACTTAGTCATCCTACGCTGGACACGTTCAAGTGAATTTATATCCATTCTATAATATGGCGACCAAAACTGAACTGCATAATCTAAATGGGGCCTAACTAGAGCAAGATATAGCTTGAGAACCACACCAGGTGTCTTGTTACTAACGCTGCGATTAATAAATCCAAGTGTCCGATTTGCCTTATTACGAACATTTATGCATTGATCCTTTTGTTTTAAATTCTTACTAATCATAACTCCCAGATCCCTTTCGCAATCCGACTTCGCAATCACAACACCATCTAGCTCGTATCTTGTAACTCTATCATCATTACCTAACCTCAGAACTTTACATTTATCAGCATTAAACTGCATCTGCCAATCCTTTGACCATTTCAAAACCCTATCTAGATCAACTTGAAGTGATAGTGAGTCCTCCTCCGAATTAATTTCCCTACCGATTTTCGTATCATCGGCAAATTTGCAAATGTTGCTACTCAAACCTGAATCTAAATCATTTATATATATTATAAACAACAGAGGTCCCAGGACAGAGCCTTGAGGCACTCCACTTACAACATTTTCCCACTCTGACTTGATTCCATTTATACT